AGGCAGAAAATGCATTTCCCGTGTTTTTGAAATGAACAGTGTTTTTGGCTTCAAAATTATCAAAACGTGGTTTTGGTCGTTTTGGGTTTTCAATGTATTTTTTTTTTCATTTTCAGAAACGGGTTTTCGAAAATAAGAAAAAGAACACGTTTTCACTGTTTTGAAAAATCGAAAACAGAAAATGGTTTAAAAACGGCAAAGAGAACAGGCCCTAATTTTTTAAATATTTTTTGTACTTTTTATTTTTAATATGCCCTGTTTGACTCAAATTATTTTTTTCATTCTCATTCTTCTATTCATTTTCAATTATACATTTTTCAATAAAATAATATTTTTCATCACATCGATAACTCTTCTTTCATTTTCAACCACATATTTCTCATCAAATCATTTCAAAAAAATGCATTCTTTCATTTTAATGTACACCAAACGGGCTCTATATTATATTTTGAGTTTAAGGGTCCGTTTAATTCTCATTATTATAGAATGAGAATGAAAAATATAGTCGTTATTGGATCTCACACAAGAGATAGAAATTCAACTTCATGTGATGGATAACGGTCATATTTTTCATTTTTATGGATGAAAAATGAGAAACAAACGGGGGTTAAATCTTTTTTCGTCAATTAATCCTAATCATGGTCCGCTATTGGTTGTCCCATCCTCGCCTCAAACTTCTTAGCTGATGTAGCGGACCGCCCTTTCGAACTCGAGTTCCCGACATTCCCGGGACGGCCTTTCCATTCACGCAGGCCGACAAGTCAAGATATAAGATAAATACAATAAACTTTGGTTGAGAAGCTTACAATGTGTTAGTGCACTATCCGATAATTTAATTTTGAACTCGTAATAAACAATCATGTCGTGCCACATAGCCCATGGGTAGGCCGTATGGGAATTCACTGAGCCGACGACTTAATGGGGGTATGCTTTTTAGGCATGTTTGGTATAAATTAGTAAGAGTGGATTTGATTGAGAGCCGGTATGCATTGTTATAAACAATTTTGGCACACCATCGTATTAAAAGAAAATATAAATGAAAATTAAAAGAAGGTTTAAGTAATGAAAAATAAAATCTCTTTTCCAATATTATTGGTTAACTTATAAAGTAAATTCATTTTCTGTCTAAAAATATTTTTGGATAACTTTAAAAAAAATTTATTTTATCTAAAGTAACTCTCATGTTAATATCAAAATAAATAATTAACTTAAATTTAGGAGACAATTGAACTGTTGTTTTCAATTCTACAAAACAC